AGCCTAGACCGACCTAGAGCGGACTGACTGACTGACCGGTATCGTTTCTGTTTCGGCCTCTAGGGCCTCTCCCTACCCGGCTATAGGCTATAGGACCGTCTATCAGCGTAGGCCCATAGGGCCTGTCTGTCCTAGGGGTAGCCCGGGTCTGCTATTCGCAGTTAGGGTAGCTGTAGGAAAATCGAAGTAGTACTGGGCCCATATTTCTATATTTACAGATATGTCCCTCACAAATTTTCCATACAGGCAGGTCTCTCGGTTAGTCCTCAGCCAAACAAAATTACGAATCTACCCCTGACTATGGTACAGCCTCGTCAGAGTGAGGCTACAGGCAACCTGGAACCAACAAGTCATTGCATATCAGTCTGAGAACTGCTTCCAACTCCTTTTCTTTTGCAGATCTTCTAGCAGCCAGGATGCAGGAGACCTTGGCTGTGGCCATTGATAGTCTCCCCACCAGTTGTGGGAAGGAGGTGGTATGAGTGTCGTAGGCTTCACATGTCTCCACGATGTGCTGCTTCATGATTTGTGTATCCAGGAGAGAGTTGTTGACCTTAAAGAAGCCCAGTCCTCTTTTTGCCCCAGTTTCAAGAACGAAGTTCAGGTAAACGTACTTGTGGTCCAGTCCCGGAAAGTACGGCACATCGCCGATTCCTGTTGTTTGGATTTCTCCCTGGCGGCTTTCCGATGTGAGAAAGAAGTCAATCCTTGATGCTGAGACGTGCTGGCTACGCATACGCTTGAAGTAGGTAAAGGCTTTGGAGGTTAGCTGGAGGGTTAGGTAAGGGTCCAGCACTTGTTGTTCCGTCATGAGGTTGTGTATTGGGGCCGCATCCTCCCATGCCGCTCCCTCTAAACCTGCAGCTCTTCCTGCCATCCTGTCCATGGTTGGATCCAGTGTGGCATTCCAGTCTCCTGCTAGCATCAGGTGCGCTGGGGTAGTACAATGCGGTAAGAGAGAGTTGACGGATTCTGCTCTGTGCTGGCGAATGTTGGGACAATAGATTGATAGTAGGCGGAAATGCTCCTGTTTGAAATGGAAGTCCAGTCTCACCCATCTCCCGCCGGTTTGGTCTGTCTGTGCTGTCTCTATGGTAATTTCCTGCGCTGCCGCTGTATTAGCACGTATGAGGATGACTGTGCCCGCTGATCCTACCGCCGGAGCGGGTGCCCAGAGGGCATAATGCACCCAGCGCAGGCGGCAGAGTATCTCCTTCTGTACTTGCTTGTGCTCTGCTGATTCCGTTAGGTGCATTTCCTGTAGGCATATTATGTCCGGCGGTCTACTCCCTTACCAACCCACTGCGTCCGTGAAGTTGCTCCATTTTGGCTGGTTTTGGAGAATAGTAGCCAGATCGTTGACATTCCATGAGATGATCCGCAGGTCCGGTGCTGACGAAGCGGCTCTACGGACCAGCGGGTCTGCCTGAACGTCCATGGTCGTCTAGCTATCCACTTTTCTTGTTATCAGTCTCCAATGTCATTCTAACGCTTCACGTAAAATGCCTCTTTCTTCTCCGCCAGTGTGTTGATTTTCGTGCCCCACCCAAGTCAATGCCTTAGTTCAGCACTGTCCTCAATTCCGCGCTTTCCTCTATTCAGCACAGTCCTGAATGACCATTGCCCTGTGCCATTTTCAGCGGGGGGCTATGGGGTGTGCGAGTGGTCATTGCCACACCGGGGACAAAGTTCTGTGGATGCTGACATCTGCTATTCGATAGCAATCTTTGCGCCTGACGATACCCAGCGGAGATCGGATTTGGCCCCTGAGTTCTGAGGGGGTGGAAACCCCAGTGTCTATTCGATAGCAATCTTTGCGCCTGACGATGCCCAGCGGAGATCGGATTTGGCCCCCGACTTCTGAGGGGTGGAAACCCCAGTGTCGGTGCAACAATAGGGGTCTGCAACAGTCGTGACTTGAGGATATGATGGAAAGATTCTCTTCAAAAATATTAAGAAAAAAACAAAAAAGGATAGGTTTTTGTTTGAAAAGGGGACGTGTGCCATGCACGCTCATTATGGGTTGGTGTGGTAAGAAGAGTGACAGGATGCAGCAGCATGCCAAGCTGTATGTTGTTTTTGGAACAAGTGTTGCTCAACCCCACGTCGGCCAAAGGGCCAGCGTCTATCATGTGTGCGTGTGGAGGGCGAATAATGGAAATGTATGGGAAGTTGGGAACCCAGATATTCTTGGGATTTTCTTCTTTTTTTCCCTTGTGAGTTTCTGCCTAGGCCCAGTAGCAAATCTGATGAGCAGAACAATTATTTGTCATTCATGGGATGGACTTGGGGTTGGGTACCATCCACAGAGTGATGGAAAGTCTTCCATGGTGGGGTAGGGTAACATCCACAGGGCTATGGGAAATCTTCCACGGTGGGGTGTGACCATGGACAATCTTCCATGGTGGGGTGGGGTAAAGTGTTCTGCAAGGCATTTTTTTGCATCCCAGCTCACTGAGCTCAGCGGTTGGTTGTTAAGTTGTCCACCTTCCACCCCCCCCCCCCCCCCCCCCCACCCCCCCCTCCTCTTTTTTTTTGTGTGATCCACATCTCACTGGGATGGTCAGAGGTTCGATTCCTGATGCATTGAGCTTTTCAGAGCTTTGCCAGTGTAGGATGCATTTATAAGTGACATCTGATGTCTGTATGTGTGGCCTCTTCTTTGGTCCTGCAGTTTGGTGTTATCGAGTGGATAAAGACGGCTGATCGAGCCCACCCACCTTGTGAAAACTGTCATTAGGGTCCGTAAGCTGCGTGGCAGGGAAGCATTCTTTGTAGTGAAAACATGTTGGCATTCTTTGTAGTGAAAACATGTTGGCATTCTTTGTAGTGAAAACATGTTGGCATTCTTTGTAGTGAAAACATGTTGGCAACCTTAGCTAACTGCTCCGCTGCAGGAAAATGACGGAGCTGCAAGGAGGGGGAACAGCAGGCGGGGCGAAGGTCAATCCAATCCACCTGACACAGTTTAAAGTGAGATCGGGAGCGGCAGGTCAGCGACTACCATCGTCTCTCCCGAATACAATGCCTGGTCATTATTGCTGTACCTAGACTGAAAGTTGGAGCACTACGGCTATGATGACTGGGCGTTCTATTCGGGCGAAGACGGTAGTTAGCAAGTCTGCACGTTGCAGCAATAGATAATGCATGCGACCAATCAATCAGCAGTGATGTGCAGCGCAACAGCAGACAATGGCATGTGACTAAATAGTTAGCAAACTTTTAACATGGGCCATTTCCTCAATGTGTCCAGACAATTTTTTTTTATGGTCCTAGAACTCTGAGAAAGTTGGGGGCACAACGATCCGCTAGCCCTTTCAGCATGCAATTGGTCGGTAGTGGCTGGCACGTCAGCCACAGCATCTATCTGGGCGCCGAAGGAGTGTTGCGGTAATCCGATCTGCTCCTCCATTGTCTCTGTCGGTTCTGATCTTCTCTTGGTCAAGGTGAATGGCACACCCTGCCTTTCACACATTTCGCACAGCACATTTGTGCAGCTGGACTCACTCCCCATTTCCGAGCTCAAGAATGGCGTTGGCATGGCTGACGAGAGCCTCCTCGGCCTCGGCTCTTAGCCCAGGGATACTACTTAAGCCTGTTGGTCAGGAAGAGTTGAGCCTTTGGTGCGGTAGCCCGTATGCTGCCCAGGAGGGCTATATGCACCGTTCCTCTGGGTGGCGGAACCTGATGAGCAGGACACCTCAGAAGTCTTTGCGTTCATTTCATCGACTACTACTCCAGTCCTCGTCGATGCATGGCAATGTGCACGCCAGAACACAGGGGTCAACGCAGTCACCTGCACGCCTACCTCTCCTATCAACCCATATCACTAGTAGCATGCTAGGTCCGCAGGGTAGTAACCTTGTTTGGTGGGTGGAGAGGAAGCTTCCGCAGAGTGAAAGGCGGTTGCAGTTCCAACAGGACTTTACGCCCACAAGAATGAGCGTAAAAGGTTCGACAGTTGACACCTATGCACCAGCTGCTCATAGCTGGACGAGGAGAGTCCTGATTGGAGAGCATGACCCATGTGGCTGCGGGAGTACAGGACAGCAGTCCCTCCTCCATGCAATCCACGTACACCCTTGTTCATCGAGAAGTCGACCAAGGACTCTGAAGCTTTCACCGCCAAGGCCAATCTCGACCGCCACTAAAAGTCGGCGAGGGGATGATCGTGAACAAGAGGTGATCCTTGAGGGAGGAAGGGAGAGCATGGTTGATGATCGCCGGCGACTTGAAATGTTCGATGAGGAGAAGAGAGGGGATGATAGGGCAGGTCTGGATGCCGTTGTGGAGGGTCTTTTCGAGGGCGAGGGAATGAATGGAGGGATGGGTCTCACGGGTGGTGAGCTTCCGTCTCGTCTTGAGCCTGGACACGACAGCGGAGCCAGCGTATCAAGAAGACAACAAAGTCAGGGTGCGGAGGGTCTTTTCGAGGGTGAGGGGATGGCCGAAGGGAATCTCGCCAGCGGTGAGCTCCCGTCTCGACCTGAGTCTGGACTCGGCAGCGGAGCCAGCATATCGAGAAGAAGACGAAGTCAGGGGAGGCCGCGCAAGATGTGTTATTACTTCACTCAAGGGAAGTGCTGCTTGTTGGATGACGAGGAACACTTGCGGCAATTCAGTCACGAGCTGGCGCTTCAGCAGTCTCCGGGTTTCAGGCCGTCGGATATAAAGAACGTGCGAAAACAAAAGTTCGATGCATTTTTAGTCCTCGACCTTGAAGGCCGGGTCGAGATTCTAGAGTTCCCTGTGATTCTCATCGACCCAAAGTCGTTGGAGGCGGTGGACTATTTTCACCGGTTTGTGAAACCAGTAGCAATGTCCAGAGAGCGTATTAACGAGTACATCAGCGGAAAGTATGGCCGGTGGGGCTTAGAAAGAGTGTGGCACGATACGGCAGTGCCGTTCACACAGGTCTTGCAGGATTTTGAACAGTGGGCTCTCGGCCATGGGTTGATGTCAACAGGAACTGATCCTCAGACAATGTGTATGCACAATGCAGCCTTTGTCACGTGTGGCAATTGGGATGTGAAGACGAAGATACCCGAGCAATGTGTTACATCACAAATCGATCTCCCCCTGTACTTTAACGAGTGGATAAACCTCAAAGACGTCTATTTGAATTTTTATGGTCGGAATGCTAGCGGAATGAAAGCCATGCTGAATGGATTGAAGATACCTTTGACAGGAACCCATCACGTTGGCCTTGACGACGCACAGAACATCGCACGGGTCCTGGTACGTATGTTGTCGCATGGACTCGTTGCAAGGATCTCCGCGAGGCGGAACGAGGACAAAACTGTTAAGTTCATGTTCAGGAGGAGAGTAAAATAGTGTATCAGTAGTCCTTGGACAAGCTTATCGCTCCAGCAAGCAGGGCGCTTTGAATACTAATTCATCGCACAGGCGAGAGAGTGACCCCATGGCTGCTCTTGCTGAATGAGTGTGGAGGATTTCATTTGGCTCCTTCTCATCTCTGGTCTGTTGGATTCTTGGATTGCCATCAGAGTTTCTATTCCAGAAAAAAAAAAGGAAAGAAAAAACAGAAAGACAGAGAGAGAGAGAGAGAGAGAGAGAGAGAGAGAGAGAGAGAGAGAGAGAGAGAGAGAGAGAGAGAGAGAGAGAGAGATTCTGTTCCAGAAGGTTCCTTTCCCCCCCCCATGGGTACAGCTGTCTTCCCATCCTGCTATTGACATCTGCAGTGCAGTGAGCAGGTTGTCCTGAGTGGTAGACATTGAGGTAGGACTGAGGGAGCGGGGGTGTGCCCGGGAGAATTGACTAAAGGGTGGTGGGTGGGACCTTCTGAGAGGTAAGACCCAAAAGAAAAAGAAGGAAAAACGAAAAGGAGCTGCTCGTTGCGCACAATGTTAAGTTAAGAGGTTTTGATTTGCGAAAGAAGAAGAAAAAAAAAGCTGCCTGTTTAGCACACTATTAAGAAGAAGAAGAAGAAGAAGAAGAAGAAGAAGAAGAAGAAGAAGAAAAGGCTAAGAAGTTTTGATTGGCGGGTTGTGTTCTATGACGTAGTACTTTTTTCTTAGCATTAACATAGTGACTACTGCCCAGGTTTTTTGTTTCTTTAAAGGTGAATTCCTTTAAGCCCAACCAATTAATGACCTGTGTCTCAGTTCATTGAGAGAGAGGGAAAATAGGAAGGATGGAAAAATTGTTCAGTTCATTATGAAGGTGATGCAATTGCTGAGCTGTCCAAGATTAGCGAATGCACTGAATCTGCAGCGCACGGGTATTACCGGCTTCCCCCGAATAGACCTTAACGGTTGCTATAGCTGTACATAGGGCAATTTTCAGTCTACGTACAGCGATAATGACCGTACGTTCTATTCAGGGGAAAACCGTAATGACCCATCTTGCGGCACATTGCGTGGTTTCCTTGCCTCTTATCATCTAGGGAGGCATATCATTTCCTCTTTCCGAAGCAATTTTGTTTAACAGCCCTTGCAGCAAAGGCAGTTTCAGCCCTTGCTTCTTTTGCAGATGTCAGGGTTTGAGGTTGCCTTCCCGCATCTTTCGCTGCATCCTTTTGCACAGCAGCCATATGTACCATTGAATGAATGTGGTCGCATTACCGGATTTTTCTTTTTTCTTTTTGTGCTGGGAATTTTTTATGTTTTTTTTTTTTTTTTTTTTTCGCCATAGCCATTAAGGCTGTTTTAAACTTTTATGCGGTTTCGCTTGCCTCAAATAACTGAAAAGTGCTACACAAAGATGCATACTCCTTGGTGAAAGTCTGAGAACATAGTTTTGAGACAGTCATGCTTCATTTTGTGGACTTGTGGACAGGGAAAATGGCAACACACACACACACACATACACACGCACACACCCACCCCCCGCCCCCACCCCCCCACACAGACACATGCACGCACGCATGCAAGCTTGTGCAGATATGACTCTTTCACACACACATACTCGTGTATATATAGTGTTATATACATATCGTAATCGTCATATACACCTCACACTGAGAAGTGCTACACACAGATGCATACTCCTTGGTGGAAGTCTGACAACATAGTATTGAGTGGATTTCATTCTCGTTTTATTTTTTCTTATTTTCATTAATTATTTTTTATTTTTCGTATTTGATTTTTATTTCAAATTTGGTAAAGAATTTGGATGTAATGTTGAGGCATATGTTGTTTAGTTTATTCTTCTGCATAACATTTTTTTTTTCCAGATTTTATCTAGGCTACCAGCCTGCCGCCCGGGTCCCGGGTGGCCAGCCCGTGTAAGGACCAGGGAAGGTCCCAGGAAAAGAAAAACAAAATCCAAAAAATCGGAAAAAAAACTATGTTATGCAGAAAAATAAACTAAACAACTTTTGCCTCAGGGTCACATCGAAATTCTTCACCAAATTTGGAATAACAAAAAATATATGCCTCCTGATGAGTCGGTGAAACTCCGACGAAACAGTTTGTCACAGCCCCTCGTTTGTTGTCCTCTTCTCTCTCTCTGCCTACGGTTTACCGGGCAGTTCTATTTGTGACGATATATATATTTATATATCGTCAAATAGATAATATATATTATACCTCCTGATGAGTCGGTGAAACTCCGACGAAACATTTTGTCACAGCCCCTCGTTTGTTGTCCTCTTCTCCCTGTCTGCCTACGGTTTACCGGGCAGTTCTATTTGACGATATATATAGCCCCTCGTTTGTTGTCCTCTTCTCTCTCTTTGCCTACGGTTTACCGGGCAGTTCTGTTTGTGACGATATATATATATATCGTCACAAACAGAACTGCCCGGTGTTGTCCTCTTCTCTCTCTCTGCCTACGGTTTACTGGGCAGTTCTGTTTGTGACGATATATATATATCGTCACAAACAGAACTGCCCGGTAAACCGTAGGCAGAGAGAGAGAAGAGGACAACAAACGAGGGGCTGTGACATATGTTGGGCCGGCCGGGCAAATGACCCTGGGCCACTCTGGTAGCCTAGGATTTTATCATTTTTTGGAATTCTTCTTTCTTTCTTTTTTTTCCTTTTTTTTTGGGTCTGCGTTCGGCCGAACGGCGGAACGTGTCGAGAGGGGGTCCCGAACATTCGGGCGTTCGGGTTCGGGCGAACGCCAGCAACCCTGGTCATATGTATATTCTGAAAGGATTCACGCTGCAGGCACCCCAGCCCCCGTCCCAGAGTCCCAAAGTGTCCCAGTCCCAGGCTGTCCCAGTAGCGTAGGCTGAAGCGTCGTAGGTTGATAGGCGGCGGTACGGAAACGTCGTAGATCGGTAGAAGTCTGTCCGGTACCAGACTAGAAAAGTTCAGTTCAGTCCAGTCCAACACTCCCAAGTCCAATTTTGCAGCATGTCCGAGGAAAGTCCGGAAAGTACCGGACCGACAAAATGTTTGCAGCAGAGGCCGTGGCCGACCGGCACCGGTCTGAAGCAGGCCAATCCAAGTCAAGTCCTATATTTAGCTCCTACAGTGCAGCGGCTCATCACTTCTTCAATTGCGAGGTGTGGACGCGCTGCTGCTGCTTGTGCTTTAAGACAACTTGGGCACTTCGCGCCGGAAGAAGAACAGGGTGCACACGGGTTACTCCATAGCTAGGTTAGGGGTAGCGCAGGAGGAGGGCGGCTATAGCCGCCAAGGTGTAAGCTTACCTGAGTGGGTGTATCCAGGGTGATGAGAGAGAGAGAGAGAGAGAGAGAGAGAGAGAGAGAGAGAGAGAGAGAGAGAGAGAGAGAGAGGAGAGAAGCCATACCAGCTATCTGGTTGAGATCCGTTGTGTATGTGTGTGTGCGGCAGAGCCGCTGGAGACAAACATTCTTGTATATTGATAATAATTTTGGAGACAACACCCTCATGTGTTGATTTTATCTCGTTTTGGCTTCTCATGTGTGTGAACTCTCATGCGAATGTCTATTGATGTATGCGAGGTGGAACTTGAAGAGCACTTGGTTCATTTCAGTTCGGCCTCCTGATGAATTGGTGAAACTGCGATGAAACAATCTGTCACAGCCCCTCGTTCGTTGTCCTCTTCTCCCTCTCTGCCGAAGGGCAGCTCTGTTTAACGATGCATATATCTTCAACAGTCTGCAGAGTCGGCTAACCGAAGATGCTGCAAGTGATCACCCACATTAACGCTGCTCCCACCTTTTTTTTCATTGTTTCTGTATGAAAAACTGCTTCCCTTGTCAGGCTTGCGAGGCATAGCAGGGAAAAGATCCTTAGGGAAGACTTGCAGCTTTTTGCCAAATCTTTGGTTTGCTCGTGTGCTTGACTGTTTGAAAAAAAATGCCATTATGCATGGTTCACTCCTCGGCATGCTTTCCGGAAAAAAAAACTGTTAATGAGAAGTTTTGCTGCAATCTGCCTGTATGCATCTAAATAGGCTACGATGGATGTAATGACAGCTTTCGTTCTCGCAATGCTTGGGTTACATGCTGCCAGTGTTCTATATGGGTGATGAGCTTGGTGCGCTGTCATCATACGCCACACACACACACATACACAGCCAGCATTCAACGACATTAACTTGTAATGTATGCCTTCTTCATTTTTACTATTTTTAGTTTGTTTATTACGTCTTAGTTTCCACACACACGCACACAGATATATATATATATATAGTTCTGTTTGTGACGATATATATATATATATATATATATATATAGGGTGTGAACCGACAGTCTGTAGAGTTTTCCATCTGGTGTGGGTGAGTGATAGTCTACTTTGATTTTGGTTAAGGTAGATTATCA